CACAAACAAGCCAATTAAAAAAGGAAGAACATGTAAAGCCAGACACTATTATATAGATGAAAAGAAAAATAAGCAAGGCTGATATTATACTTGCTAGGACAGGAAAATAAGACAGAACATTGGTATGTGAAAGTCTTATAAAAATAATTACTTGGAGACTTTGTAACATTCAAAGCAGGCATGATGATCTGAGGTTCTGAGAATAGAATCTGGAAAAGAACTGGAAGTATTAATAATGTAAAATATCACCTGAGAAAACACTTACAAGACAGATACTATCTTGAGGGAAATAGGACAATGGTCTAATCCCTTATTCTGAATTATAGATATAATAAAAGCTCCAATACTGTATTTAGTCATGATATATTTTGCACTATTTCCTGTAATATGCATGCCATTAGGCAGTAGAAATGGCATGGATTTTGGAAGCAGGCACATGTGCACCTGATAGGAAATCAAGACCATGAATGACTTTGGTCTTGCTATTGACAAGGAAAGTGATTAACGGTAATAGTTAAGAGTTTAAAATCCGGGCCTCCCAGGTGGCGCAGCGGTTGAGCCCTGGGTTGCAAAGCTGCTCGCAGCCTCTTGCAGCACCGGTTCAATCCCCGGCCGCCGGCGAGGGTCCCACATGGCGTGCAGACCTCTCCTGCTGCCCGCTGCTCCCCTCAGCAGTGTACTTCGTCAATCTGCCTGCTCTGCTCTCCCCTCTGGCTCTGGTGAATTCTCTCACCCTCCCGCACTTCTGACTGTACTCAGTGCCTGTATAAATAAATAAATAATGTTAAAAAAAAAAAAAAGTTTAAAATCCCTCTAAACTGGGTGGGCCTTCCTGGTGGCGTAAGGGGTAAAGTCTCAGACTATGATGCTATCCCGCAGTCACTGCAACACGAGTTAGATCCCAGGCCAGGGAGCTACCCACATGGAGCAGCAGACCTCTCCTGTATCACTTGCTGCTCCCCTCAGCAGTGTTTTTCAGTAGATCTGCCTGTTGTGCTCCTCACTCTGTCTCTGGTGAATCCTTTCACTCCCTCCCCCACCTCTGACCTATATCCCAGGTCTTGTATGTATAAATACATAAATCTTTAAAAAATAAAACCTCTACACTTTGCGGTTTCCTTGAATTACACCATGTGAGATTTCAGAATCTTTTTAAAGTATGATGCAAATCTTGACTTTGACCTCCTCCAGGAAAATGGAAGTTTTTTTTTTTTATTTTTATATTCCCCATACAATTGCAACCCCTTGATTTTGACCCCATCCCCTCCTTTCCCCACCCCCCCCAAGTGTGTCTCTGGTTCATAGTTGTTTGTTGATTTTGATTTTTTTCTTTCTTATAGGAAAATGGAAGTTGTAATGAGCATGATACATGCCATGAAGACCTGGGTATACCTAGGACAACCAGGTTGACTAAGATCTACCTGATCAAAGCCCTCAGACTAGACAGTTTAGAACAATCCTTAGCTAAGTTCAAGCAACCTCGCCCTTCTCTTATAACTGTTTTACCCAAGAGTACAAGATTTAGTGCTGTATTACTCAAAAAGTGTATTGCCCTGCAGGTCAGCACACTATTTGTTACTGTCCTGTGAGGACGTTAGTACAGAAACTGAAATGTAGAGCAATAAATGTGGCTCGGTTGAACCTAACAGAACTTAGAAATAATGGGGCAGACAATTTGTAAAATTTATTTTTCTAGTAATTCATTTTTTACTGTACTTCATAAAAGTATTAGTGCACAATTTATTGGTGGGGGGGACTACCTTTCAACAAAGATGATTTGTGATGGGCTGATTTGGAGATCAAAGAGTAGAGCATGTATTTACAGGGACAGAGGCAGAAGGGCCTGGATTAATTCTGTGTCTTAGGGCACAGAAACAAATGCAGTCCCTGTGATTTACACACGATTGACCCCAGTTTACAGGAGACTCAACTAGAGTTGATATCTCATTGACAAAACGTATGTGCTTTTTACTTAAGAGTGAATATTCCCTCCTTTGAGAAGCAGTATTGGGGTTGACTGCTGGTAATGAATTCAGAAATTTGGAATCCTGGCCACAATTTTTTTTGCATGAACAGTGACTGAGTGAAAACTTCTTAACTTCTCAGGGCCTCAAATGTCTTACCTAGAAATAGAGACAGAGCTATATTTTTTAAGAGGAATGAGGCAGTGATTAAAGATATGTCAATGTAAACATGCCAGCATGTATAAAAAGCTCAATAAATATTAGTTTCCTGTTGACTTTTAGAAATGAACAGATTCAAATTGACTGTTATGGTATATGCATGTTCTTTTGAGGGGGTCCCATTATTATTGCTACTGCTTATTTTTCTGGTTTATTTATTTATTTGTTTTCCTTTTCTTTGCTATCATAAACCAAAGTTTTGCAATCACATAATTCATATGTTGTTTCAATCTAGCTTCTGCCTCTACTTTCCCATTAAATATTTCTAAACTGTAGTTAGTTTGGGAAGTCAATAAATCTGCTTTAGATCTTATTCTATTTGACCTCTTGATCATATGCCCTTTCTCTGTAAACTTGTCTTCAATGCCACCATACTCATAGCTTTCTGCTCACTGTGAGTTATCTGGGCACAACCTGCTTTAATTAAGCATTAAATGTCTTACGGGCCAGTCCTACTCTGGGAGTTTGCACTCTTCTGTTATTATTGTCAATTCTCTAAGACCCATCTAGCCAAGGCTTCCCCTTAGCTTTGTGCCTGACTATGGCACTCGATTGGGACAACAGAATATTCGAGAACATGACATGAGCAAAGGTTTTTACAAGGTTGCTCTCTCACACTCATATGAGAAAGAAGATGCCCTGGGTAGATGCCAATCCCAGTAAAATAAGGAAAGACGTGGAGCAAGCCTGAACTCAAGCAGCAGTCTGAAGCCAATCACATCCAATCCAGCAAAAATCCAGCAAAGCTTCAATTCACTTATAGACCAAGGAATGAGAAAATTAAGGTCTCTAGTTTAAGCCACTGTGATTTTGAGGGTATTTATTTCACAGGAAAAATTGATTAATATTCTAACTTACTCTGTACTCTCTCCCTCGGCTTTTCTCTGTGTTCCTAATCCATATCCTGTAGCCTAATCTTTAATATCTCTACCTGGATGTGTAAAATCTTCAATTTAGCATGTCTAATATTGGCATGTGATTCTTTTCATCTCTCTTCTTTCAATAAAAGGCTATACTATGTATCTAAATCTACATCCAGACATTGTGAAGTTCCTCTAGGCCCCTTTCACATCCAAATAATCAACACAAAACTTTTCTTCTAAATATATCTCCAGTACATCCAAGACACCAACACCATCCTAGGCCGAGATTATTTTCTCTTATATGAACATTGTTCATAAGTTTACTTTTTGAATTACTCTTACCTTATATTTGTTCTACCTGAATTCATTTTTATTTCCTCATTTACTCTGCAGCACAAAGAAAAGCAAATTATATCACATTCATCTCCATTACCACCCTTGCTAAAATATCCCTCCTATGGCTTCCTGATACTCTCAGAAATAACACCAACATTCTCACTATAGCCGACAAGGCCATGCATAACCTTTCCTGTCTCCAGGGTCAATTCCTAACACATCACCTACTCGCTGTACATTAGGAAAACCATTTGTCTTTGGACATGCTAAACTACTTTCCATCACAGAGAATTTGCATTTCAGTTACTGTGGCCTGAACACTTTCTCCTGAATATACTTGAGACTTCAATAACCTATACTGAAAAAAGGACAAAATATTTAAAATTGGGATCCTTTTGGAAAACCTAGACATATGATGACTGGACTATAGCTCAAATAACACACACAGACTCATTCTTCATTGCTAAAAACTCAGACAAAATAGTAATCCATCTAATTTGTTTCTTCCTACTAGTTTTTCTTTCTTCAGAAAGCTTTGTAATCCTCTGGGTCCTAAATTGCTATGCCCAGTGATAAGAATAAGCACTGCCTACCATGCTGAGCTCTTCTGCCAAGCAAACGAGGCATTATTTATGAAAACACCAAAATTTTCTCCTTGTGCATTCAGTTAACATGTTTTGAGGTACACACAAATTTCACTTCATAGTAAACTTAAACAAAGGTCTCAGGAAGAAAAAAAAAAATCCATTTAGTTTCATGCTCCTTCCCAGGTCCAGGCCCCACAGTTTCCCAGACATTATGCCTGCAGTACAAACCCAGCAGAGTCCACCTCCCTGTTTTGGTTCATCATCCTTTCTGAGGACAGACTCAACTTCTTTCTTCTTATTATCATCATTACTACAGTAAAATCGACATATAGCATTTCTCTCACATTTTAACTCCAGAAATCCTCACTGGCCTGGTTAAACACTTCTTCCCAACCACATTTAGCAGGCTTGCCTCTTTGTTCTCTGCTATCCTCATCTAAGGAGTAAACACAGAGTGACCAGCAAAAATGATGTGGCTGCATAAAATGTATAAGGAAGACAGGGCAGGCTCAAATTTTGGGGCGTATTTATGCAAACACAAATATCTATAGTTTATTCTCTAATACTGATATAAGGTCTGTTATTATTCTGTTGTCCAGAGCCAGTTTACAAATATTCCTACAGTTTTTGTGTTCCTACCAAAATCCTAACACCATCAGTGCAATTAATGCTTAAGAGAAAAATGCCTACACATTTGACAACCCCTCATATTTTAATTATTTTTGGAATCGATCTTTTGAAAGGAAATAAAGGTTTCTACTCCTTGACAAGGAGCCGGGGACCCGTGTGCTAAGTTCATGAGCATGTGTGGTGATAAGTAAAAGAAAAGAAGCTCAGAACATCATTTCAGAAAAACAATGGAATTCAGTATTTTTCTGAAAACAGATGAAAAATTAATTATGAAAATTGAGATTCAATGTGGTTAAGTGCCATTCCAGAAAATGTGTTCTTGAGAACAAAGCCTACACATTTATAATTGAAAAATCAAGACTCTTTGTTAAAACCAGGTTTACATGACTTATATGACCAACCTGCAAATGTTGTTGACTGAGTCTTCCGGACAGTGGTGGTGGCATTTACAGTGCAAGATCTTTGGACGAGGGGTAGGGGCTGTGCTCTCACCATCCTCTTTCTTGGTGCCCACATTTAATTTTCCTGAACTGCGCAAAAGCATGTTATCAAGGAAGTTTGCTGAAAAGAAGTAAGAGGAAGAGTTTAAGTATCTGTGGGATAATCCAAAGTCTTTTGTCCAAATAGCATGAGGTGTTGAAACAAAATATTAACTATCCATGACACTTAATGATTTAGATAGAAAACATTTCAAATGTGTTTGATACTAAATGTATAATTTTATATATTATATACATCAAATGTAATATTAAAATTATCATAATCTTTCCAGGATAGATTATAAAATTAAATTATAATAGTTATATCTGAATGAACACAAGGAGGTACTGAGAAGAGATAAAAAATTAAGACTCAAAGTTTAATCTGTGCACAGCTTAAGACCAGTATTTAAACCCAGGTTGTCTGACTGGCAACACTGTCTTTCTACCAGTCTTCTTATTTGAGCATTTTATTTACTTTAGATGTAACACACATTTTGTAGAGAAATTATTAGAAATATTTAATCTGAAAAATTGGGGAGGAAGATGAAAAACTTATAAAAAACATCATTAAGATGTGCTTCAAAGGATACATCTTTCAGACCACCTGTTAATGCAAAAGTGTTACCTATGACAGTAGTGATGGTTCTATATCCGTCATCACTGGAACTGTTGGGGGACACTACAGAATATGATGACTACAAACGTATTTTCTGGGTTCAAAATTAAACTTTACTATTTACCAGTTAGTTGACCTTCAATAACTTTGTATTATCATCATGTCTCATTTTTTTTTTTTAAATGGAAAATGGAGACACTTACAAGTATTTACCTCATGTCAAAAGTTTAAGGTGCATATTATACATAGTTAAATAAAAATGAGTTAATGTTTTTGGAAGAATTTATTTTTCATCTTTTAAGTTGTAAAACACTGTTTTCTTAACATAGGGTGACATATCACTGAGATACTTTTCACATTTTCCTTCTTCACCACTTAGGAAAATAATAATTTTCAAGGAGGGTACACATTAACTGATAGCTATCATGTTTCAAAGGCTGTGGTAAGAACTTTCATTCAGGCTATTTCACTGCATAAATTGTCAGTCTAAGCAATATTTGATTTAAAATCTTTCTCTTAACACATCTTGCTTGTCTTTAATTAAATAAAATTTCATTAAAATATTACTTAAAAGACTTTTGAGTAAATATGTAAATTTTAGGTCAGAAATATAACATAATCGATAAAGGCAAACAATGTGCATTTATTATTTGTTAAATCACAAAAAATGCCTCCAGGCAATAGTTACATCAGAGAATGAAAAGTTTAGAAAAAGATGTGTGATTTTTCCTGACTTTCTGAATTTAAGATAATGAGTTGAATCCTCAGAAACTAGTAATTGAAGGAAAAACAACAAAATATGCTAAATCAATTTATCAGAATTTCCCCTTAATGAACTCTAATATTTTACTTGTTTTTTCAAGTTTATACTAAAGTATACATCTAACTTTCTCAGACAGCTCCTCACACAGTCTGTCCTCCCTTAATATAGTTATGGATTCCTGGAATCTACAACTTTAAATATAACAGTGTATAATGAAACCAGGAAAAGATATTATTGGAGGGCCTGCTGTACTTCAGTCTATAGAAGATTTGAATGTACCTAAGAGGAGTTTCTCATATTCAGAAACCTGGGTAATCCACAGTGATTCTGAATCCATAGGCCTTTGGTGATCAAAGAGAAGTTGTATATTAAACAAGATTGCATATAATTCTGAGACAGATGGTAAATATATTATACTTTTATAAATTGAAGATTAGCTTAAACAAACAAAACTTACTTAACCCAACCACATATATTATCTCTATTCAACAGGATATTCACCCTTAATTTAAATTCTGAAATAATGCATGAAGTATAATATAGTTCATGTTAGTATCTTATGCATGAAGCCATCCATTACAAGTTTGCACTGCCACCTATCAATGTACAGTGGGGTATAGGAAGGTCTATATACTATTCAAGCTTAACGGTTTTCCTCTTTATTTTTTTTAAAGATTTATTTATTTGTTTATACATACAAGAACTGGGGTACAGGCCAGAGGTGTGGTGGGTGAGAGGATTCACCAGAGACAGAATGGGGAGCAGAACAGACAGATCGTCTGAAAACACTGCTGAGGGGAGAAGCAGGCGAATCAGGAGATGTCTGCTGCATCATGTGGGTATCTCCCTGGCTGGCTGGGGATCAAACTCATGCCACAGAGGCTGTGTTAGCTTCTCAGCACTGTGCCCAACCCCTTGCACCACTAGGGAGGCCCGGTTTTCCTCTTTTACATTCTGGTCCCCGCGCCTCCCCAGTGGCGCAGCAGTTAGCGCTGGGTTGCGAAGCTGCCTGCAGCCTCTGCAGCGCCATTTCCATCCCCAGCGGCCAGGGGAGGATCCCACATGGCACACAGATCTCTCCTGCCTCCCGCTGCTCCCCTCAGCAGTGTACTTCGTCATTCTGCCTACTCTGCTCTCCCCTCTGGCTCTGGTGAATTCTCTCACCCTCCCGCACTTCTGACTGTACCCAGTGCTTGTATAAATAAATGAAAATAAATCTTAAAAAAAATTAAAAAAATAAAACATTCTGATTCCCAACCTTATTAACTTTGTGGTCTAATTTGTCACAAAGTAACTCAAAGCAATTAAACCTAAGATATTTAATGGCCTCCCTGGTGGTGCAGGGTTAAGTTAAGTCTCAGCACTACGAAGCTATCATCAGCCACTGAGGCATGAGTTTGATCCTCAGCCAGGTAGCTAACCCACATGGCTCAGCAGACCTCTCCGGTCTCGCCCGCCACTCCCCTCAGCAGTGTATTTCAGTAGATCCATCTTTTCTGCTTCCTACTCTGTCTCTGGTGAATCCTCTCACCCTCTGCACCTCTGACCTACACCAAGTCCTGAAGGTACAAATAAAATATAAAAAAAAAAAATAAATAAGTAACAGGACAGGAGCAGTGAGCAAGACAGGAGAGGTCTGCTGCGCCATGTGGGTAGCTCCCTGGCCAGGGATGGAACTCATGTCACAGTGTCTGCAGATAGCTTCATATGTTGTGTCTTAACCCCTTGCGCCACCAGGGAGGCTTTCTTCCATACTAGATCTCTTCTCTTTGAATTTTCAAAACAAAATAAAAAGAACTCATTTACCATGTTTATGTCTTATCATGCTTATTTATCATGCTCAGCAAATATGTGTCAGATGCCTACCTTATTTGAGGCACAGCTGGTTAGGCAGGATAAACAACGTACACACAGAATTTATCATGTGTTAGGAAAGGTTATTAAATGGAATGTTTATACTACATGTTCTTCATTAGAAAGGAAACACCCTTATACTAGAAGAAATTAGGTGCATTTTGAAAAAAAATTAAGAAAGAATTCATAATTTTTCACATTTTAAAGTGATTTAAATTTAAAAGCTTAAAATTTAGCTAGGAGGGCCTCCCCCAGTGGTGCAGTGGTTGAGTGCTGGGCTGCGAAGCTGCCCGCAGCCTCTGCAGTGCTGGTTAGATCCCCGGCCACCGGTGAGGATCCCACATGGTGTGCAGATCTCTCCTGCCACACCCACTGCCCCCTCAGCAGTGTACTTCGTTAGTCTGCCTGTCCCACTCCCTGCTCTGGCTCTGGTGAATTCTCTCACCCTCCCACGCTTCTGACTGATTCCAGTGCTTGTATAAATAAATAAATAAATAAATAAATAAATAAATCTTTAAAAAAATTAGCTAGGATTATGTTCTTTCTAACACTGCTCATAACAACCCATCTTTACAATAGAAGAGGAATAGTTAGATCTCTAAAATTAGATTCCTATGTAGCTATCGAATATTGATACAGAAGTATACTTATTAATAAGAGTGGTATAATTTTCTTGAAAAAGGTAGGTTACAGGATATTTTAGCCATAAAATCTCATTAAATTACAGGATAAGGGACTAAAAAATGAGGCTACAATATAAAAGAGATCAAGAAAAGACAACAACAATAAAATTCTTCTAAGCAGAAAAGACAAGCAGTAACTGACTTAATAAGGCCAAGAACACTGATTCCTAACCCCAAAGGTGGGGGAGAAGTCAAGAAGAAACACCGTTGTTAACTATTAGAAAGGATGCTTTTAAACATTCAGTGCCCAAAAGGTATCAGAGTAGTGACACAGGTTATTTTCAGACATAAAATTAAAAGGAGGATGGAAAACAGGAGGCTTTCATTTTTTAGAAGCAGTTAAAACTTCCATTATACTTCCCCAGTTCCCACAGCTAGAAACCTTTCTTTCCTACCCACAAGAAGATAGAAAAAGTAATGCATATCAATGAGATTCATTCCTTATTCTCCTTTTAACCACCAAGATGAATAACTGCAGGAAAGTAAACATAAATGGCAGGGTATCATCTTACTGCAAACACTCATGAACCCTGACAATGAACATTGATTCTTCTTTCCTCACCTGGTACATGGTATATGGTTTTCAGAACTCAGCACAGACTGGTTTATAACTATTTTATTTAGAAATTTTACTAAGTCAGTAACAAATAAAAGATAGGCATGTGGGCCATGTATCAGTGAAAGAGATCTACAATATTATCCATCAATGAGGCCCAATGTTGACAAGATACACCCATATGTAGAGAGCTTCCAAGCATCTTTCATAATGCTCCATTTTCTTGTAAACAAGCCACTATTTTAGGGTCATTAGCTATATAAAGAAAGACTGGCACATCAAAGGCCGAAAAAAATTAATATAAGGAGATAAGTCTCTTAGAAGAGACATTACATTAAAGGAAAAAGAAACATTTAAAAAATTGTTAACACGGGGCCTCCCAGGTGGCACAAGGGGCTAAGCATAACTTTGTGAAGCTATCCGCAGCCTCTGAAGGATCAGCTTGATCCCCAGGCCAGGTAGCTACCCACATGGCAGCAGACCTCTCCTGTCTCGCCTGCTGGTCCCCTCAGCAGTGTATTTCAGTCAGTCTGCCTGTTCTGTTCCCCACTTTGTCTGGTGAATTCTCTCAGCCCCTACACCTCTGGCCTGTACCCCAGTTCTTGTG